CTGTATGGTTTTATGTAGGTTGGCCTGAAAACCCCAAGAACATGTCAAACTGTTCTTGATTACTCTATGGCCATTTTCTCAAGGAAATGTGGCACTAAAGAGGGTTCAGGTATATCGGAGGATCTGTGCCTCCACCAAGCTTCGTTTCTTGCTCCATGCAAACGAAAGCTCTTAGCACAAAGCGTGGCAGTTCAAAGAGACTTTTTGCTCTCTGTCTGAAAGAACCACCATCATTTCTTAGGAATATAATAGCAAAACAGAATACCTTAATGTATCAAGAAGTCAGTCTCTCAAGTCTCCAAAGGAGCCGCCAGGAGCCCCATGTGCAACCACCTCCACCCCTAACCTAAGTCTCAGCCAATCACCCAGGCTACGGGGACCTGGCCTTCCTCTCTGTGGAAGGCCAACGTGGAAGCCAGGACAAGCCTGGTCCCAGCACAAAAGCAATTCCTTGGTGCTTTTCCCAGTCCTGACCAGCAGGACCATCGTGTGACCTCAGTGGTTAGCTGATTCTCTCCCCCTCTCAGTCACCTGCCAGGCTGCAATACCTTTTAAAGCTGTTCTTCTTCCCTCTCTCCTCCTCCTCCTCAAAGACAAACCAGCCCCTTTATAGCCACAAAGGGGGAGGGGCCTCTGGCTAGGGGTCATGACATGGCTTGGTAAATTTCAGGCCAAGAGGCTCAAGCATGCACTCATTCCCTTTGGTCCATCCTCTTCCCCCATCTCCTTAGATCAGCTGTGACCCGCTGGAGTAGCTAATATTTCTCAGGTAATGGGTTTCACAGGATGAGGGAGCACAGAGCAAGGGCCATAAACGCCTCATGAGCCTTCATAGGTATTTCTTGGTTTCCATAACCTGACAGGTGAGCCCTGACCTTTAGGACAGGACGTAAACCTACTGAGTCCGGAAGTAACACTCTTGAAAAATCAGAAAGGACCCTCTGGCTACCGAGTACCTAGGATTAAGCACCCCTTAGTTACGTTACATTGAGCAATTCGCCACAAAACCACAGGCTCTCCGCAAAGGCGAGGAAAAGGAGCAGCTCCTCCCACAAGAGCACCCCTATCTCTGGCCCCGCCCCTTCCTGTCTTTTGTCAGTTGCTGGGAGAGAAAAACAGTCAACATACCCACCCACTCTGCAGCAATTTGGACCTGGGTGTGGATTCTCTGAAATCTTCCCTTGAAAGCAACTGGAGGAAATAAGAAATTGACATAGAGCCCAGCTGGCTGGCTCAGGGGTTGAGCATTGACCTGAGAACCAGGAGGTCACCATTGGGTTCCGGTAAGAGTTGGGGGCTCCATCCCCAGTGTGGGGCCGGAAGGAGGCAGCCAATCACTGACTCTCCCTCTCCCTTCCTCTCTGAATCAATAAAAAATGTATTTTTTTTAAAGGAAATTGACACACAAAACCAAAAACTCAAGGGGACAGTCAACTGCAGATTTGGAGCAGGGAAAAACCCGCAGGGGACAGTGGCCAATGAGTGCACCATCAGGGAGTCCAAGGTAGAAGTTAGTTAAGAAACTGGGAAAGGAAGAAAGCTAATTTATGTCCATTTAAAGTTGAACAGCTGGATGGAAATGTTAAGTCATCGCAATAACATAGATGAAAACATGGAGGAGCCAACAAAGCTACACACACACAACATATTCTGCACGATCCTGCTCAGAAACAGGGAAAATGAAGCTTTGGTGTTCAGGAAACATACTGGAGTAGTGAAACCATAAAGAAAAGCAAGGTGATAAGCCTAAGTCATGACAGGGTTATGGGCAGTGAGCTTCAGGGCTCTGGCAATGTTCTATTCTTGACCTGGGTGGTGGTGATTTTACAGGTATTATTTACTTTATAATCGTTTGCTATGCAATTATATTTTATGACTTTACTTCACAAAAAAATAAGTTAAAAGAAAAAACACACACAACAAGCCTTATCCGGTTTGGCTCAGTGGATAGAGCATCAGCCTGTGGACTCATGGGTCCCAGATTCGGTTCTGATCAAGGGCATGTATCTTGGTTTCAGGCACATCCCCAGTAGGGGGTGTGCAGGAGACAGCTGAGAGATGTTTCTCGTTTATGTTTCTAACTCTCTCCCTCTCCCTTCCTCTCTGTAAAAAAAAAAAAAAAATCAATAAATTAAAAACAAAACAAAAAACACAAGCCTGAGCCAGTTTGGTTCAGTGGATGGATAGAGCATTCGCCTGCAGACTGAAGGGTCCCAAGTTCAATACCGGTCAAGGGCACATGCCTGGGTTTCGGGCTTGATCCCCAGTAGGGGGCGTGCAGGAGGCAGCCAAGCAATGATTCTCATCATTGATGTTTCTATTTCTCTCTCTCCCTTCCTCTCTGAAATCAATAAGTATATAAATATATATATGTAAAAAACAATTTCAAGTACACGGATTAGAGTTATATCCAGAAGCTTTAGCAATTTAACAAAAGACTGGAGCCAATACCAGAATAATCCTTGCAAAAGCAAGCAAAAAAAAAAAAAAAAAAAAAAAAGGCACTCCTCTCCAGGCCTAGTTTTATGGTTTGCTTTGGTGTGGAGACTCAAAGTCTACAGATCCAAATCCACAGGAGCAAACTCTGTCTGCCCAGGATGATAACTGTAACACACCTACCAGCCAGAAGGTGTGTGCCTCGCCAGCTCAGCGCTCACACCTCCTCTCCAGTGGTCACTGTGCAGAGCGCTCTCCCGCACCGCCCCTCACAGCCGGGGGCCGGGATCTCCCCCCAGTGAGGGAGGCGGCCTGCACAACGGAAGGCGAGCCCCGGGTTTGGCTGAGGAAGCAGCAGAGGCCAGGCCAACGCCAGATCTCAGGCGGCCACTTGCCCATTCCCAGGAGCAGGCCCCGTTTTTCCACGTAGAACATTAATGAGAGGAAGAAATACTAAGTAAATCACTGTCAGCATGAGAAGGTCGCCTCCTCTGAGTCACTTCCACCTCTCAATGAAAACACCTGCCAAGGTAACGATTAGCTTCCTTCGCTAGGCCATGGGCACCTGGAGAACAGACTGTGTCCTCTCATTTCTGAGACCCCCCCGCCCCCCGCTTTGCGGTTTCTGGAAGGAACGTGCTGATGAAACATGTGACAGTACATAAATGAATCCATTAATACCGGGAAGAACAAACTAACGAATTCACAGTGTTGCTTTCCAGCCTATACTCTGTCATACCTACGCAGTGCCACCCACGTGAACTTCTGAAAGCAGTTAAAATGCCAGGCAAGTAACTGCCCTTTTAACAGATTGCCAATTAGATCTTCCACTTCTTAAAAAAAAAAGAAAAGAAAAAGGTTGCATGTCATACACAAACTCAGAAGCGGAGAGGGCTGACAGGTTAATTATAGACACAAAGAGTGGGGACAAACGGACTATGAGGTCAGCGGGTCTAAATGTGCCTTCCCTGGGCGAGCACTTATTAATAAGCCTGAAAAGCTCACTGGGCGTGGCCAGGTGCAGCTCGGTGCCAGGCTTGGGGGGGGGGGGGGGGGGAGTCCAGATCAGGAGAAGGCACCCTTTCTGCACTTGAGGGTCCTGAGGAGATAGCCTGCACCTGCCATAATCAAAGCGGTCCCTGCAGGGCAGCAGGTGGGGGAGAGGGTAAAGATAGGGCCTAAGAACTCTTGACACCTGCCTTTTTCCGGGAGGTGGAGGCGAGGGAGAATCAGAAAAAAACCTCCTCAGTCCCATAGCCCCACCTGAAAGGAAGTGTGGGCGGAGAAGCCGAGAGGAGGCCTCTTTTCCTCCTGCTCCTCCCACTGTGTTCCTTCAGCTGCTGGTGGCAGGGGCTTAAGTCAGAAGGACCTATAGGGATCTTCCCTTTCTCTCTCCACTCTCACTGCCCTCCAAGAAAAAGGATCATCTGGTCGCTAAAGAGGCAAGTTTAGGGTCCGCTTTAGCAGATGGGCCCAAGAATGGAACATGAGACCTGAAGGCGAGGAAAAAACTCCAGGCAGTGCTTTTGCTCCTTTCTTTCACTCGGACCACAAACGTTGACTGGCCGCCTCGCAGGAGCAGGCCGTGGATGGGATGGCTCTCAGTGGGGCCTCAGCCTCGCCTGTACGCCGGGCTCAGGACCAAAGCCTGGGCCTCCACACTGAGGCCGGTTCTCCCGCGGGTTCCGCTTTATTTGAGGGTGATGGGTCTGGAGGTCTCTGACGGAATCTGGGCCCTTCCAAAGAGATGAGGGCCTTCTCTAAGAATTTACTTATTCCTTTGATTCAAGTATTCCCGGGGTTTCGAAAAGTGCAGATGGGCTGATAACCCGGGAATGCCAGGAAGAAATACGATCATGGCCACTCCCGCAGGGGGAGGAGAATGTCCCAAAAGGTTTATTCGTGTTTTTGCTTTTGTTTTCCCCCAAAAATTCCCCCTTTTTCCCAAAAGGCATTGGGGAGGTGAGACCTGGCCGCGGACCAGGTCCAAAGAGAGAAACGAGTCGTTGGGGAGGTGTTTAAAGTTCACCTCACCGCCCGGTCAACTTCTCACCCACCCAGTTCCCTGTGCAGGTGGCCCGAGCGCTTCCAGACGACCTTCCGCCCCCGGAGCCTTTGAAGAACCGAAAGGTGTTCGCTCCCCGTGCGCGGGGGCTGCGGGCACCCGGATCCTCCGGCCGCTGGACAAAGGCGTCCACACTCGCCTGGACGCGCCTCCGGGGCGAAGGAACGAAGAAAAGTGCCCGGTCCTTTCTCTCGGACCCGGGCACTGCGCGCAGCGGCCGCCGGCTCTCCCGGGGCGGCTCCCCCCGGGGCGCTGGGCAGGGGCGGCGGACCTGGGGCGCGCGGGGAGCGCTCCAGGCGCGGTGCTCCCGGTGCACCTGGCCCTGCCCGCCGCGCCCGCAGCCCCCGCTCCGTCCCCCGCTCCATCCCCGGCTCCCGACTCCGCCGTCCCGCCAGCGCCCACGGGGCCCCGGCCGCCCGGGTCCCCCCCCCCCCCCCCCCGGTCCCGCCGCTCCCCAGCCGCGGCGCCCCCGCTCCCGCGCGCCCCAGGCTGCCCTTACCCGGGAGATGGCGAGGGGCTGCTCGAAGTCCTTGCCCCCCACGAGGCGGAAGCCCCACGGCCCCGGGCCCTGGAGGACTATTTGCTCGGTGGTCATGGCCCCGCGAAGGCGAGCGGCGACCCGCGGAGACGGACGCGGCGGCAGGACGCGGCGGGCGCGCTGGGCTCCCGGCGGCTCGGCTCTCCGAGTGCGCGCGCCGGGCGGGAGCGCGGGGCGGGGAGGGCGCGCGGGGCGGGCGGGGCGGGGCGGCTCCGCCCAGGCCGTGGGGAGGCCGCCCGCCCACCCGCGCGTCCTCCCCGCCCCGTGTCCCGAGAGAGAGCCTGGGGTCGGGTCTGAGGGTCACCCCGGCACCGCCGAGGGCGCTCGGGAGAAGCAAGCAGGTTCCGACAGACCCGGGCTGGGCGCTTTGTAAGACGATAAGAAGCTCTGGGGAGGGAGGGCCTGAATGGGGAGGGGGGGGGCATGTTAAGATATGTACACCGATAATAAATTAATTAAAAAGTTGTAAAAAAAAATATAAAAATTAAAAATTAAATGTAAAACTAAAATAACACATAGATTACAAAAAAAAAAAAAAGGCGCTGTGCTTTTTGCAGACGGTAATGACGTGTAAAAGGTGCAATCGCATGATCTCTGGAGTCTGCGGCGCAGACAGGGCACCCGGCCCCATTTTCACCCCAGGCCGGGGTAGCGGGGTCGGCCTGGGGTGAAAAGACTTGCCCGGGGCTGCTCCCCAGCTGGCGCTCCCCTGGCCAGGGAAGCCCGTCTGGGCGCGTTTGTGATGCCAATGAGGCCGGCGCACGGTGCTGTCCAGTGTTTGGAATTCAGAACCGGCGCCCTGGAAAACTTGTCTCTCACCCCCAGGCTGGAGTTCGCTGTAGGTTCTGACCTCCACAACTCAGGCCTCCTGTCTGGGCGGGCCAGGAGCGAGCTAACGAGAGGAAAGGGCACGGGGTTGCGTAGGAAGACCGGGTCCCAGCCTGCCACCAGCCTCCCGGGGCCTCTGCAGCCCTGCCTTCTCTGTGCCAGCCCAGCCCCGAGTCTCCCGCTGCCCACGGGCTCCTTGCTTCACGCTGAGTAAAGCCAAACTGCTTAACGTGCTTATGGGGCCACCCACAAGGAGGCCCACACCCTCTCTGACCTCATCTCCTCCTCCAACGGCCCCCCTTCTCCCCCCCCCCCCCGCCCCCCCCCCCCCACCTCGGGCTCCAGTGTTCCTGCCCTGGGGCCTCTGTCTGGAATGCTCACCCTGGCTCTCTTTGTTCAAATGTCACCATCTCAGAGCGCCCTACCGAAACCTCCTCTCTTGGACGCTGCCTCCTCTCCTCTGCTTTATTTTTTCTCCATGGTATTGATCGCCATCTGACATGCTGTTTTACTTATTGCTTGTCCTTCCCCTAAGCATTTGTTACGAGGGGGTAAGGTGTTTATCAGTCTTATCAGATTATCCCAGTGTCTAGAGGAGTGCACGCACACAGTACTTAAGCAATGCAATGCATTGGCCATAGTCATGACCACTTACCCTTTTGGGGCCAGGTCCCTCATAGTTTTCTTGGCACTCATTCGCCCTGCCCCAGCGCCCCAGTGCTGTGCTTGGCACAGAGCACATGCTCGATGTATGCGATAGAGAGATGTATAAACCATATATATGTACGCATTCGGATGATTAAAATATATCTCTCAAAAATATTTGGTTTTCACCTACAATTCCTGGCTCACGACTGCAGAAACCCACAAAATGTCCCGCGTGGAGAAAGACAGCGGTGTCTTCTGCTATGGGAACGAAGTGACGGTTAGAAAGCACCTGTGGATGGGGGCCCGTTGCCAGGAGAGTGGACCAGGTGATTTAGAGGTTTAGGATTTTCAATCCCGTACTCCCCCACCTCCACCTCGGGCAGGGGGGAGGGACTGGAGAGGAATCAATCACCATCAGCCATGCCTACGGATAAAAAGCCTCCAATAAAAAGTGACTGACCTCAGCTCGGAGGTTCCCACAACCTTCTCCTCATTAGGCTCCGTGGATTTGCTTTTGAGAGCTTCCAGGTTGATGGACACGAGGAGATGCGAACGTGGAAATGGCTTGGAAGTGCCGCACCCCTCCCCCTTTTCCCCCCAAAACACACACAAACCCTTACCCTATGCATCTCAACATCTGGCTGTTTCTAAGTCATACCCTTTGACAATAAACCAGGACTGCAGCCCGTAATAGATTTCTCCGAGTTCTGCGAGCTGTTCTAGCAAATTAATTGAACCCAAGGAGGAGGTTTGGGGGCCTCTGATTTTATAGCCAGTCAGTCGGAAGTGCAGGTAACAACCTGGACTTGTGATTCGCATTCTGAGTTGGAGGGGGTCATTGGAACCTCCAATCTATATCACCTGTGGTCACCACGGGCAGAAAAGATGAAATGGAAAGTTTCAGAAATAAACAATTGAAGCTTTAAATTGCTTAGCCTCCTGGGTAGCATTGGAATTTCCAATCTATAGCAAGTGTGAGCCTGATGAAGGCTGGCTTCTGAAGTGTGTGTGTGTGTGTGTGTGTGTGTAGGGGCCCAGTCTTGTAAATAGTGTCGAAATTGAGTTGATTTCTTGAACACCTTGCTGGTGTCTAAAAATTGTTTGTTGGGGTGGGGTTGCCCATGATCCAGTTGGGTCTGGGAACTTAATTGAATGCGTTTGTTAAAAGCAGGGCTCTGCCCTGGCTGGTTTGGCTCAGTGGATAGAGTGTCGGCCTGTGGACTGGATGGTCCCAGGTTCGATTCCAGTCAAGGGCACATGCTCAGGTTGCAGACTCGATCCCCAGGGGGGGCGTGCAGGAGGCAGCCAATCAGTGATTCTCATCAATGATGTTTCTATCTCTTTCCCTCTCCCTTCCTCTCTGGAATCAATAATAAATATATATTTAAAATAAAAGCAGGGTTCTGTCTCCTGGTCTACCTACCAGATTACACCTGAAAGGATCATCTTACTTCTCTGATTGTATCACAGCACAATGTCTATTTTTAGGAAGGGTTTGCTTACATTTAGAAAGCAAAGTGGGTTTATGTTATCTATACATCCCTCCCATCCCCTAGCATCCTGATATGCATTGAGTCTGAGAAAAAAGGAATGGACTTACAGCCAGAACCAGCCAGCACCAGCTTCATGGAAGCCCCAAATCCACTGGCTTCAAGATTCTGCTGATTAGAAAACATGCTAGTGTTTCAAGTCCTTGTGGAATGTGGGGAGAATTGCTAAATTCTGAGTCTGCCCTCAGGTGTGCAGCAGTTTGAAGTACTTTGTGTCCTAGGAGGAGGAAAAGGTTGAAAAGCCACAGCTTCTGTTCTCCCAAGGGGGGGCCTGCCTCTCTCTCACTCATCCTGTGTGCCTGCCAGCATGGGCCTCAAACTCATAGATGCCAACAGTGCTTGTTCTACACAATAGTGTCTCTCTCTCTCTCTCTCTCTCTCTCTCTCTCTCTCTCTCTCTCTCTCTCTCTCTCCTTGATTCTCTTTGGCAACCTCCTGGTTCATAGGTCAACACTCAACCACTGAGCCATGCCAGTCAGCTACACTATAATCTTTACAGGCATGGGCACTGGTGCATTTGTGAGGGCCGTGAGCCCTCAGTTGCTTCATTTGGCTGTTAAAGGTTATCAGTTGTAGTCTGGATCTATGTAGTAACAGCTATGAAACAGTCAACCTTTTGACCCATACATCCTCTTTCTGGGCCACAATTCCAAGGAGAGAGAGAGAGAGAGAGAGAGAGAGAGAGAGAGAGAGAGAGAGAGAGAGAGAGAGGGAGAGAGAGAGGGACACTATTGTGTAGAACAAGCACTGTTGGAGATATATATATATATATAATTGATTTTTTTACAGAGAGGAAGAGAGGGATAGAGAGCTAGAAACATCAATGAGAGAGAAAGATCGATCAGCTGCCTCCTGCACACTCCCCACTGGGGATGTGCCCACAACCAAGGCACATGCCCTTGACTGGAATTGAACCCGGGACCCCTCAGTCCGCAGGCTGACGCTCTATCCAGTGAGCCAAACCGGTTTTGGCCACAATAGTCTTTTTAAAAAAATATATATTTTTTATTGATTACAGAAAGGAAGGGAGAGGGAAATAAAATATCAATGATGAGAGAGACTCACTGATCGGCTGCCTCCTCCACACCCCACACTGGGGATGGAGCTGGCAACCTCCTGGTTCATAGGTCGACACTCAACCACTGAGCCACGCCAGTCAGCTACACTATAATCTGTACAGGCATGGGCACTGGTGCATTTGTGAGGGCCGTGAGCCCTCAGTTGCTTCATTTGGCTGTTAAAGGTTATCAGTTGTAGTCTGGATCTATGTAGTAACAGCTATGAAACAGTCAACCTTTTGACCCATACATCCTCTTTCTGGGCCACAATTCCAAGGATATAATTTATTTATTTTTAATATATTTTATTGATATTTTACAGGGAGGAGGAAGGGAGAGAGATAGAGAGCTAGAAACGTTGATGAGAGACAAACATCAACCAGCTGCCTCTTGCACACCCCCTACCGGGGATGTGCCCGCAACCAATGTACATGCCCTTGACCGGAATCGAACCTGGGACCTTTCAGTCTGCAGACCGATGCTCTACCACTGAGCCAAACCAGCCTCAGCCCAAGGATATAATTTAAAAGAAGGAAAAAAAAAAAAAAAAAAAGCTGGATGTACAAAGATATTTATAGCCACATTATTTATAATGCCAAAAAAAATAATAACAACAACAACAACATAAAAAACAAAACTGGAATCAACCAGTAACAGAAAAGTGGCTAAATATGGTGTGGCCATATGTGGGAATAGTATGCAGCATGAGAATAACGACCCTGAGGACTAAGAGGAGACAGGGAAATGTGTTTTCAGAAAAGGTAAAAATAAGTGGAACAAGACTATTTGTAAACCAAATATTATTATTTGTAAAATGTATGTCAAAAAATGGAAACTATGTCTTCTTACTGCTACAAATTAGGAGAAAGCACAAAAAGCTAACTTTGTTTTGGGAGATGCAATTGGGGAATTTTTTTAAAAAAAATTTCCTCTAACGATGGTGTAAAGTTTTCAAAACAAATAAAATGTTCTCGGCTTCTTGGGTTGGTGACTAAAGGCCAGTCTTTCTGGGGGTAGGAAATCTCATCTTCTATCCTTTTAATCTCTTCTACCGGGGAGCCCTGAACTGGCCACA